TTTGGGGGGGGGGAGAGGTCGAGGGGGGAGGATGAGGGGCGGGACTGAGGGAATAGGGATGGGGGACGGAGATTTGTCGTAGAGAAAGGGGGGGGAGGGGAGGGGGGGAGGGAGGGGCTATGGGTACGGCGAGTCGGGGCGACAGAGGACAGGGGAGCGATAAGTCTGGGCTGGGGAGGACTGGCAGAAGGTGGGGTGAGATAGGGAGGGGAGGCGGAGAGGTGAACAGAGCACCAAGAGGACGTAGGGTTGAGGAGTGGACTATATATAGGAGTCGGCAGGTGGCTGTGGTGAGGGCGCGGATGAGGGGGAGTGTTGTAGCGCGATAGCTACTCAGTAACGATGAGCTTATTAAAGAATATGCGAATCTGATTATGAATAAGAAATCTTCTGAAACTGACATGGCTGTCAAGGAATCGTTTGTAAGAATTCACCGGAACTGAACATCAAGGATCTGAACGACAGCCTTACCAAAATCCACAAACTTACTGAAATCGTCTTTGCTCACAGAACGACGTGTTGTTGTTCAGAATTCATATATTCTACACACGTTCGGAACGCGGTTTTATACCGTGGTCGGGGCAGTGCCGGCCTGAGACAGACTTCACGTGTCTTTGGCACACCACTAATCCACAACATGGAGGTTGGTGCCCAGTAGGGGCCGTACATTTAGGTTAGTGCGCGCTGCCGGGCTGCTGAGTTCTCTCGGGGTGCGAGACTCAGGAATCCTCGTGCTGCGGGACGTGGTAAGGAAGGGCCTTGGGAGCCAGCCGTCTCGGTACCGCGGTAAAGAAAGGGGGGGACGCTGAGCTGGCTACCAATTCTCTCCCCCCCCCCCGTGCGGTAATGTCGGAGGCCTGGTTGGCGGGGGTCGTAGCAGGATCTTCCCGTTCGCGCACTTTTCGAGTTGGCGCCAGAGAGGCGGGTTTTGGTGGGTTTGTGGTCTCGGGAGGCTCTTTGGCGTCTTGTGGTGTGAGCTCTTTGCGCTCTTTCTTTTTTTGAAAAAGATTCTTGGAGCTTGGTGCCCTCCGTCCCCGGCACAGGATGACTCAGGTCGGACTCTGATCGCCCTCTGGTCCTGGACGCGTGCTCTTTGAGGTTGTTCCTGTCCTTTCTGCCCGTAGGAAGAACTCCCCAGGTGCGATTTCGTTTTTGTTAGGTGACCAGCGGGCCTAGAGCCCGTTTAGCTGGTGCGCTACCCCCCCCACACCGGTAGGTGGGGAACGCTGCTTAGTGCCGGCCATCGTATCTCGCGCGCGGTCTGACCCGAAGGGGAGGGGGAATGCACGAGGCTAACCGGCCATCTTCTGCGCCCCCCGCTGTGTTTCGGCCCCGGGATCTCCCCGGCCGTTTTCAAGCCCCCACAGTGTACAAGTAGGACGAGACTGTGGCCCCTCACCCCCCTCTCCTCCCGCTTGTTGGGAGGAGAGTGCTCTGCTTCGGCGGTCGTTCCCGTTGGGTCATATGGTTAGGTGCCCCCATATGGCCAGCGTGGTGTGCCAGTTAGAAGTCTCAGGGTTGTAGCGAGGGCCTGTGTCCCGTTCTCGTAGCGAGCGGGCTCTGTTTCGATTTTAAGGACCGTAACGGCAACCGCAACCATATGCACGCACACACACACGCACACGCACACACACACACACACGCACACACACACACAAGGCAACAGTACCCCTGTACCCGGTTTCTGAGAGCTTGGGGCCGTCAGCATCGCCGTACGTGCACAGGTGGGTGCGCCGGTCGCCTCCCGTTTTAGTCTTGCATCCCGTACTGTTGGTGGTTCGTAAGTTTGGAGATCATACTCAAATAGCTACATCACAGCAGATCTGGCGCGCAAGATCTGGATCCACCGATTGACAGCCCGGCGGAAACGTCGCTCAGTTGACCAGTAGGCATCCTCGAGTTTCAAGGATGGTTCGAAATGGTCCACTTCGTCACTTCGCCGCACTTTCGCGTGTGTGTACGGTACTGTACTGCACCACATTGAACAGCTCTTCTTGCTTCTCTCAGCGATGTCCACAGCTCCGATAGAGATTCCACAGCTAAAGCTCTCTGGCGGTCCCCCTAGATGTTCCCCCCACCCACACAAACGAGGCGGGAGGCGGGGCTCTTGAGGAGAAAGGGATGGGGTATTTGGGCTTTTGAGGCCACAGATGTCCAGCAGGCCGACTGCCATCGAATGGGTGCGTCGTGGTATGTTGTTTAGCTATTATGGACGCTTTTGCGCCCACCACGATGCGACCGTTACAACGACCAACGGCAGTCCCAACGGTAACCCCCAACCGTCTCTGCACTCGCCTCGTCTCAAGCACCCTTCACCCCATGCAGGGCCCTCACACGGAGGATGTGTGCCTCAAAATAAGGCCCACCATGAACAGCATGGCGATGCTCGTTTTCTGTTCCCACCGCAGCCCCCCCCCCCTCACACACCCACCCACACACACACACCCACATCCGCTCGCCCACAGGACACTTTGTCAAGGACGCCAGTCAAGGCAACACATCTTCAAGTTCTTTTTAACGTAGCGGACATCTTGGCTACATGCACTTCATGCCGCACTACACGTACACTATGCAGAGCGCTGAGAAGCGCGCCGTGCTCATTCCTTCAATTCCTTCAATTCCTTCAATTCCTTCAATTCCTTCAATTCCTTCAATTCTTTCAATTCCTTCAATTGGCGGCGGCGGACTCTCAACCAATCTTACCGCCCTGCCTACGCGGGGATACTCCACTGACCGGACCGCGGTAGATTGGGGAGTAGTACTATGGACCGCTAGGGGGCACTCACGCGGAGTTCGTCGCACCTGTTGCAGCGGCGGCCGTACCTGCTGCAGCGCCGTCGTGCAGCAGCAGCAGCTTATGAGTGGCCACTATGAAGACGGGAGCATGAGCCGCCCTGTGCCGTCCTTCCGCTGCTGCTGCCCCTGCCCCTGCACCTGCCGCCACTGCCGCCACGTCCTGCTGCTGCTCCTCCGCTTGCATGAGCTGCACGAAGCCCGCGGAGTGGAGGAACAGCAGCTCCGAAAACACACGGCACGCCGCGAGCCGGTTCCGAGCTCCACGGCCGTCAGGTGGCACTAACTGGTCCAGTGGCAGCGGCTGTAGCTGCTCCTCCACACAACTTGCGCCCTGAGCAGCAGCTGCAGTAGCACTGCGCTGCTGCTGCTGCTGCCGCTGCTGTTCGATAAAGATGTTGCGCAGCTCTGGCAGTAGCGCCCCAGCGCGCGCTGCCACGGTTCGTGTTGCCGCCGGCAGTACGGTCGTCCCGTCAATGTCCGGCGCCGCCGCCGCCTCTTCCGCCGCCGCCGCCGCCTCTTCCGCCGCCGCCGCCGCAGCGGCGCCAACGGCGCCCCTCCTACCAGCTGCGCGGGTGCCAACGGCACCGTCTATCGTACATTCCTCTTCCTCACACGCCGCCGCTGCGGCCTCCACCGCCGCCACGATCGCTGCGTCCTCAGTCAGGACAGGTTGCTCCACCGCTGCAGCCGCCGCCTCGTCCGTTTCCCGCAAAACAAATCTTCCAAGGCTGTCGCTAGATGTCGTAGATGCTGGCTGGGCTGCTACTGCTACTGCTGCTGCTGTATCCGCCTCCGCCTCCGCCATCTCAATATCCCTTCCGCCAGCGGCAGCTGCTCCCATCGCACCCGCAGCCGCCGCTGACACCGGCGGCAGCTGCCCCCCTTTGTCGTGCAGCCGACTCCGTTTCACCCCAACACCACCACGGCGGAGATCGCTGACCTCACGTGTCGTGACGTCAGCCCCGGCATCTGCCGCGCCGTACTCCCCGGCGGCGGCGCGTACGAACAGCTGCCTCAGCGGCGCGCTCATCAGCATCCCGCCAGGCGACATAGGGCCCGTCGCGAGCTGAGCCAGCACGCCGTGGGCCAGTGACGGCACGTGATGGGCGCCGTCGTCGCCGTACTTCCTCACGAGCGCTACCTCACGTCTGCCGTACAGTCCAGGTGCAATCACGGCGCCGCTGCCGGAGAGCAGTACACCAAGAGTACTGACGCCGCGGCCGCATGGGGCGCGGGCGCCGCCGCCGCCGCCGCCGCCGTCCGGCCGTCGAAGGATGGGGCGACGGCTCCTGACGGCGTCTCGCATGGCGGATAATGGCAGGCAGATGTTGGGCTGCGAATCGAAGCGGCCTACATGCGTACGAAGTAAGAAAGTCGTACAAAAACGTTTACCGTACTGTTTACCGTACTGCACAGCTTGTGAAAGGGGCAAATATGTATCGTAGGGATTATTGACGAGCCTGCCTGCCTGCCTGCCTGCCTGGCATTAGTGTTTTTCCCCAGCAACCCCCCACCCGTCCCTCCCTCCCCTACTCTGGAGCCCCACTACCCGCTAAAACCCGTCCCCCTCCCTCCCTCCCTCCCTCCCTCCCCCCCCCCACGTCGCGGCATCTGCGGCCACACAACCCCCCCGAAAAGCTCTGATCTCTTCCTAAAATTCATAAGGCATACTAGTAACGCACACGTCAATGCCCCCCGGTCCCACATACATATCATAAGGCCCCAGCAGAGCCTCCCATTCCATCACTTACCGAAATCGGCGTCACTTGATCAGCTGTACGGAAGACAGTACGGAAATGTACGGAAATGACGCCATGCCCGCAAGAAGCCATGAACTAAGACCAAAACTAAAGCCGTTGGCACCGTTGGCACCCACCGATCTCAGTTAGTTGTAGCCCCTTAGCTGCTGCTGCCAATCCAAACCCTCCACTGCCACCAGCACCACCTCGGAATCGCTGTCGTACACATGTACGCGCTTCCCTCCCCGCCTCCATACCCCCCCCTCCTCTCCCCCCCCCGTCCTACCTGCATCCACAGTCACCCGATGGTGTCCCCTTCGCATAGGTCCCGCGGCGGGAACACCATCGACATCCGTAGCGCCGCCGCTGCCGCCGCCGTCGCTGGCTCCCTCTGCCGCCGCCGCCGCCGCCGCGGCTGTGGCGGCGGCCTCCTCCACCGCCGGTCCCGCGACGGCATGACCACCGCCTTCCGTGCCGTTCTGTACGGCAGCCGCCGCCAGATCCACATCCGCATCCCCCGCCAGCACGCCGTCCACTCCACCCATATCGCTAGCAGCCCTCGTGGCTACATTCGACCTCCCGCCTTCCTCCGCGAAATTATCGTGACCCCCTTCGGCCCCTCCCCCTAATCCACCATTTCCTTCTTCACGTTTTCCACCTTCTCCACTTTCTCCTCCTGATGCTACTGCTGCTGCTACTTCTGCTGCTGCTGCTGCTGCTCCTGCTGCTGCCAAACCCCCCGCTGAGGTGGACGGCTCGTCTCCAAACAGCCGCCGCCGCAACCCTCCCGCTGATATGGCTACACCCACCGCTGCCACCCTAGCTACAGCGCCTGCGGCGGCAGTGGCGCCGTACTCTTCCGTATCCTGTAGCTCATACTCTGCCGCTTCGTACGCGGCGGTGACGGCGGCGCCGCCGCCGCCGCCGCCACCGCGCCCGTCTGCCCCCGGCGGCGAGATCAGCATCTGCAACGGCATCTTGCCGGCATGGAGCTGCTGGGGACTGTACGGCGGCTGCGGAATGTACGGCGGACATTGCGGTGTCGCCAGGTCAGACATGCCGACGGTCGTGGTGGGAGTCGAGGGAGGCATCCCCCCAACCCCAGCCCCGGCAGCGGCAGCGGCGGTGGCGGTGGCGGTGGCGGTGGCGGTGGCGGTGGCGGTGGCGGCGGCGATTCCTGCTCAGCCAGGGTGCGAGTCACACGGCAAGGATGTGGAGGCAGGTGGTTAGGGAGCAGGCAGGGCGCCTGGATGAATTAAAAAGGATGAATTAAAAAGGATGAATTAAAAAGGATGAATTAAAAAGGATGAATTAAGAAGGATGAATAAAAAAGGATCAATTAAAAAGGATCAATTAAAAAGGATCAATTAAAAAGGATCAATTAAAAAGGATCAATTAAAAAGGATCAATTAAAAAAGATCAATTAAAAAGGATCAATTAAAAACAAAATGTCAAATAAATGTATTTCCAAAAAATACACACAAAAACCTAAGTTTTAGCTGCGAATCTAGGCGGCGCCCCTCCCCTGACCAACTCCCGAAATCAATCAACTCCTGACCAACTCCTGATTGGCGGCAGCGATCTTGGCGCGGACCGTTGGGTACGACCGTTGGGTTGGTACCCAGTACCTGTATCGTTCACACAGACATCCGCAGCCAGACAGCACCAGCATTCATCAAAGATAGCAGAACTAACCCCCCAAAACCTCTCTCTCTCAAGTGAAACCTGCCATGTATGTCGTACCACTCACCCCATGGCGGATGCTCCGAAGCCTCAGCAGCTCGCCAGGAGAGCTCCGCCGCCGCGTCCACAAGGGTTGTCGTACCGCCCGGTGGCCCCGCCGCCGCCGCCGCTTCCGTGGCCTGCTGCCCAACACGGGCCGCATCCGCATCCTTCCGTCATCATCACATATACAGGTAATATGCACATACATACATACATAGAGAAACACAGAAAACCATAATACCGTATACACAAACACGTACCGCTATACACAATTCAACTGCCCCACGAACCCTCCGACCTGGTCTTGCGGGCTGTACAGATCATAAAACTGAGACGGCAGGCTCTCCATCACCAGCTCGTCCACGCCGTACACATCATCACCCGCCACTACCGTACGCATCGTGGTGGCGCCCGCGCTGTAGCCGCCGATGGCGTCGACGGTGCCGGCGGACAGAAGCCGCGCCAGCGCCGCTCCCGTGGTCGCCGCCGCCGCCGCTATTGCCGCCGCCGCCGCCCCGTGTTCGCAATCTGGGGCCTCGGCCTCCACCGCCGCCGCCGTCGCGGTAACGGCGCCGCCGCCGCCGCCGCCAGCGCCTTCTCCCTCGTCGACGTCGTCTATCCCCATCGTGCCCAGCAATTCCGCTTCTAGGAAATCCCCATCTTCGTCGTACACTGGAAGCGTTATTGCCGCCTCCGGAGCATAACCGAGAGTGTCCCGACCGCGGACCCCCTTCCGACCCGCGGGACGGCCGCCGGCAACGTCATCCGCTGCGGCGGCGGCGGCGGCGGCGGCCTCGCGCCCTGCCTCGGTGACCGGTGCATGCGACAAGGCGTGGATGCTCCTCCATAACGCATCCTCGCAGTCAGATTCAAGGCACATCACCTGTACGACATTCGTACACAACACGTGCCGATCAGGGCGTAGTACGGCAGCACTAATGTAAGGCTGTTGTGCGTGGCTGCCGCAGCGGCGGCTGACCACTGCCCTGCTCTGCCTCCGAAACCACCCATCAGGAATGCCCTTCCTCCTTCCTGCCTCCCGCAACATTCGTTGGTCCTTTCAACAGCTACCAGCTATCCAAGTTCCAGCCCTCCCGGCATTCTCCCGGGACCCTCGTACACACACACACACACATGCAAAACACACACGCCCTCAAACACCCACACCCACACCCACACCCCCTTACCCCTCCCCACACACACTAACTCCGCAAGCCCCCCCCATGCAAAGCTCTCGCCCCGTCTCGGTCCTGTGCCCACTGCCCCGAGAAACAGCTATACCTGCTGAGCGTGTATACGTACGGCACCCAGCAGCAGCTGCCCCGACAGCCGCAGCGCCAAAGGGGCCTTATCCAGCAGTTCTCGTATTTGCATCACGGAGTCCGACACGCTGGTGTTGGCCACCCTGGAGCGCTGTTGGGGGGAAGGGGAGTAGAAGGGGGTTAAGGGGAGAGAGGAAAGAGGAGGGGGTTTGGCGCGGGGCCGGAAACGGGAATAAGAAAAAACAACAACAGCGACCCGAAGTGCGGGCCGGCGGCCGGGGCGGGTCCGGTGGCGGGCGGGATTGAACAACATGTGATGAATAAATATGTGCTTTAGCAACGACCCAAGTTGCTTCAAGCCCAGATCAGATTATGTGAGAGCAAGTGAACGGCGGAAACTTTAAAGGGATCGAGCAAGCTGCGGAAGCTTGCGATAGTCCGTATCCAGTGCGCTGTTTGGCACTGCTGATGTAAACGATCTCTGCGTTGCTGTTGCGCTAAGCTTTTCCTCCTCTTGACTCTTTTCTCTGCCTTTTCTCTGCGTGCGCCTTGGAACCGTGTCTCAGGCCACCGAGTCTGCCCGCGCGTTTTGCAAGCTGTGGATTTTTGTGTCCTCTAAGACAAAAATAAATAGACAGGTTGCTAAGTATGTATATGTTTATATGTTTGATGTGTGGCTTTTCCAGGAGGCATCACCACCGCACCTGCAGCCTGGCAGCGGAGCCACGGCCTCCCGCTCCTCCCCCGCCGACTGGCAAGTAGGAGGCCAGCCAAATGATGTGTAGCGGGGAGCGAGGGTTTGAGATAATCTGTTGCGCGTAGAACGACATGACGTGCCTTCCGCGCGTCGCGGCCCATTTCAAGCCTTCATATAACTTCTTGTTTAGTTAATCTTTGCAAAGACACCGCGCCGAAATGATGTCAGCCTGTCAGTGCTCAGCAGGAGGGTGATTTAATCCTATTTAAGAGGACAGTTGTCTTGCCAGTGGCTTTGTTTGGCTTGGTGTGTGATGCTTCTGTGTTTGTATATATTCATGCTGTTTGCTTTTTATGCTGTAACTTAGGTAGGGTATTCTGCGCGGCGAAGGAGGAAGAGGAGATTCGTAAAGCGCGGAGTGACCCATGGGTCTAATCGATCTGAAACTTTGTGTCGCGGAAAAGGGTGATGGCGGTCTCAGGCCGGCCATGATAAGTGGGGCTTGTAATATATGTCCGAGAGCGATGGCTGAAGCCGCAAGCAGTGTTGCGGATGGCACCTCTTTTGGGTTTCCCTCGTTCCGAGTTCCCAGGTTCTTGGGAGGGTTCCATTCTGGCCCGAATGCTGGTGCAAACCACCAGCAGTTGGTATCAAGCGAGATAACGAAAGTACCATCAGCCAAAACCTGGGCCAAACCTGTGGCCCTCAAGCTCTCCTCCAAATGCGAGGTGCTGGAAACGAGTCTGTGAGGACCAGGACGGTGCAATGGACTTTCCGTGCGTGTAAAACTGTGCTTTCATGACGGAACGTATGAGGCAACCATCTAGCTATGAATGGACGTCCGATGACTTATGAAGGTATCGCGACATCAATCGAGCTGCCAAGCCTGAGCTTTGAGCTTCAAAGTTGTTGCCATAGGTCGAAGCTCCAACGTTTGAAATAAAGTGTACTCTCATGGGGTGAACGCCAGGCAAGAGGGAATAAGCATACAGAGCTTAACTACGAACTGAACAGGGATTGGAAATTAGCAGTGTGCAGGTCCCAATCTCCCAAATTCCAAGCCCCCTGGAAGCCATGGATTTTGGCATAGAGTGCATCATAAGTTGCGGCCAATTCAACCTACGACTAGAGATACACAACGGTAAATTTAACTATTTATACATGACTCGGCCGACCGCGGCAAATGACGGACCGTTTGGATAGTTGTAATAGGAGGCCCTCAACTTGAACTTGACTATCCAGTCTTCCTCTGGAAGATCCCAACGCGTGCCCAAGAGCCCTTCGTGATCTGCCATCTATCTCGTGCAAGCGCACTTTCGCTTAGTCTAGGTTATCAAATTCCTGCCTAACTTCCGTTGAATACTTGCTGCAAGCTGTGGTCGCGAAAAGATGCAGTGTCTATCAAAAGACTGATTACTGTAAATTATTAAATTAGTCTCAAGGCTGCAAGGATGAGCCGTGATGTGTGGGCGGAACGACGGGAGCTGATTGAGTACCTGCTCAAGGTACGTCGCGGCAGGCCACAGCTCTGGGCTTTTATTTTGCAGAGAGATTCTCAGCTTCGCTCATGTGAGGCCGAGGGACCCCTTACTAATATTGCCGCGCACGCCACCATCGACCGTGTTCCGCCTAGGAGCATGCCCGGCGAGGGGGCAGGGTGGTGGCCGCTCCCCAAACTGCGCTCTACGAGCCTAGGGTCCTGGACCAGCTGAATATCACCGCGCTGGTCAAGCAGCTCCAACATGGTGGGTCCAGTTTTCGGTTTTAAACATAGCGCTCCACAAATTTTACCCGGCGGGCGCTGCTGGCCAACCCCAAGTCAGAGATCCGCCCTACCCTAAGTCCCTTCCCTTCCGACAACTTCCCTTCCGGCAAGCCTTTTGATGTCATCGGTGGAGTCTTAGGATTCAGATTTCCTTACCACCTTTTGTGGCCAATTATCGGTGAAGCAAGCTAGTAAACCGCTATAGTTGCAGCAGAGCACCAGGCGGCAGGACCAGCCACCGCTAGACCCCTTCCGCATTCCGGAGCCCCTGAACCTCTGACGAGAGGAAACCCTAAGATAATCCTCTACTCCTTAAAATTGGCACTCCGTGTCCCTTCTCATCACCCCCTCCCCTCGTGCCAACCAACCTCCCTAACAACCAACCTCTTTCTGGTGCTCCTAGGAGGCACTCTGGAGCTAGCAAGGGTAATGCTGCCCGCATCTGCCAACGGTTTCGGAGCCGGGGACCGAGCCGCATCATCCGCTGTCATGGTCGGCGGCAGGGCCTCCTCCGGCGTCGGAGGCGACAACCCCTTCGGGCCCACGGGGCCAGCGGCAGCGGCTGCTCAGCCGCCGCCGCAGTCCTCACTATCCCTCACTACCAGTGCCTCTACGGGCGCCGTCGGAGTCGGCGGAGGTGGCGGAGGTGATAATCCCTTTGCGCAGCCGCCGCTGCCGCCGGCAGGCTCTCGCCATGGTTCCCACATCTCGGGGGACAACCCCTTCAACTCACCCAGCGGCGGTGGTGGCGGGGGGGGAGTCAGTGGAGGCGGAGGAGCTGGAGGCGTCAGTGGGGGCGGCGCGCCCAACCCCTTCGCCGCCAAGGGCACGTCCTCCCGGCCCTCCAATGGCACCATCTCAGCTGCAGATGGTGCCATGTTCTCCAAGAAAAAGGGGGTGAGGAGGACCTCCGCAGGGCTTTATTTTCCCGGGGAATTATTGACGGTGGTTGGGTCGTGTGTCGTGTGTCGACAGCAGCGGCGGCGGCGGTGTGATGAGGGCTGTGAGGGCGGTGGTGGTACTCTGGGGAGTTGGGGTTGCTGGGAGTTCCTAGCACTATTGCGTATGTGTGTGTGGGGGTGCGGATGGGTTTGGTGCTGCGGAGGACCCGGTGTATGTGTGTGAGTGTGGGAGGGGGGGGCGGCTGGGCTGGTTGTGTGACACAGTGGTTGATGTGTATGTGTATGTGTATGTGCAGTCGGTAGGTATCTCTTATCATCACCATTTCCTTTGCTCCTCCGCCGTCGCTGCCGCCACCGCCACCGCGGCCTGAGTCTCACTTCTTCCCTCCCCGCTTTTTTCTCACCCCCTCGCGAACCCCCCTTCACCCACCCACGCCCACTTCCTCTCGCGATCCGCGCCGTCGGCGGGTGTGTGACAGACCGCTGGTGGCGTCGGCGGCAGCGGCGAGCCGCCGGTGACGGTGCTCTCCACCTCCGTAAAGCTGTCGTACAGCGTGACGTCGCCGCCGCCACCGTCACAGCAGCAGCAGCAACGACCTCCCCTCGATAGCATATCGAGTTGTCGGCGGTTAGACGGCATGGGCGGCCCCGACGGCGGCGGCGGCGTTGGGCCGGCAGGGTCGCTGCTACCCCCGCGACTGGACCTGCCACAGCTGGAAACGGGTACGTGCTCACGCAGGCGGCTTGCTACTCTGAGCAGCGCTGGGGACCGCCCAGAGGAAGTAGGATGAGGAAATTCGGCCCCTATTATTAAACAAAGGGGTTTTACCCTGTGTTTACCTAGTAGGGGTGGATGAAGCAGGGTGTCCTAGGCTGCCGCGGCTTCCTATGGTCAGCTGAATGGACGGATGGGTGGATGGGTAGGGTGATGGGATGCTGGGTATTTCCCCCCCCCCACCACCGTCCAATGCCTCCAGACCCTAACTAACCCCCTCACAACATGGTTTTTACCTACGTATACGTACAAAGTACAGCAAAATGCCCCCCCTCCAGCCGCCCGGTAAACACCTTAACCCCCCAACTTCGCCATGTCGGCGCCTTTCCCCCCACCCCACCCCACCCCGCCACTCACTCTTTCCGTGGCAGCAGCTTCACGCGTTCGTGGTTCGTCTTTCCCCCCACTCCCCCCAACTCCCAGGCCAGACGGACGAGCAGCTCCGGGACCTGGCCTACCTGCTGTTCGCCGCCGTGGCCGGGGGCACTGGCAGCCCCCAGCACGCGGCCCTGCTGCCCATTATGAGACAGCAGCTCGTTATTGACGACACGCGGGCCGCGGATGTGGGGAGGGTGCTGCGGCACCTGCAACCAGGTATCAGACACGGATTGCTTGGGTTGGGGGGGAGGGGGCTTGGGGGGAAGGAGGGGAGGGGAGGGGTGGGGAGGGAAGGGGCTTGGGGGGAAGGAGGGGAGGGGAGGGGTGGGGAGGGAAGGGGCTTGGGGGGAAGGAGCGGAGGGGAGGGGAAAGACGAACCACACACGAGTGAAGCTGCTGCCAGGGCAAGAGTGTACCACGCGGAGGGGAGGTGATGGGAGGGACGTGCGCGGGCGAAGGGGCTCGAACCGGGAAGGTGGGAGGTGGAAAGGTCTATATGCGCTGAGAGTACGGGCCGGGTGGGGAAGGAAGGGAAGAGGGGGGAGGGGGGGAAGGGGGAGGAAGATACGCGTGGAGGAAGGGAGGTATGGTTCCGGAGCAAGGACTTGTCTATGTGTATGTCCTGTGACGTCAGGCATCCATGTACAAGCCCTAACTCTCTATAATCTAGATACGGTTTCCAAGCAATTGATCTTTTGCTTCTTCTTTGCTTCCTGCAATCCCGAATATATATGGCGCCAACCCCACAATGCCCGTGTTCATCGCTGTCGCTGCCCCTTGATCGGCCTTTTGTTCCCACACACCCGAACCCCCATTCCGCACAGGCGGCGAGCCCACGCTGATCGACCAGCCTCACCCTCTGTACGGCAGCAGCAGCAGTCATTCGGGCGGTTGGCGGCCCAGTCAGAGGGCCTCCCTGGAGCTGTTGTTGCGGTTGATCAGTGTCGTACGGCCAGAGGACTTCGAGGCTTTCAAGGGCTTTCTAAGGTGTGTGTATGTGTGTGTGTATGCACGTATGGCAGTGCGCGTGTGTGCGGGGGGGAGTTGCGGGGCGGGCGGGTTTTGTGCTTCTTGTTGGGCAGGCATGTGTCAGTGCATGTACCCCCCTCAGTCCCTCGCCCTCCCCATCCGCTTCCGTGTCGATCTGAACCCCTCTTCCGAGTGTTTACTCCTGGCCCCCTTCTTCCATGCATTCCCCCTCCTACTGGTCAGTTCTGCTTCTTGTACACTCTTTCCTTGGCAGCAAAGCTTCACCCGCTCGTGGTTCCTCCTTCCCCTTCCCTCCATTTCCCTATCCCCGGTCTTTTGCATCTGATCATCACTCTCCCTCCGCCGCCCCCGCGCGCCGCCGTCACCCGTCACCCCGTTAGGTGGAAGGACGTGACGGTGGCGGTGCTCGAGCGCCAGGTGGCTGCTGCGGTGGCGGCGGGCTGGACGGGCGACAAGACGCAGCTCAAGAAGATGCTCGCCAGGTACAAACACATACCTCTTGTGTGACATGTTTGGCCACACGTGCAGACCGGCTTTTGTGGATATGTAACACAGGAAACTGGGTTGGGGTTACTGTTGGAGAGCTTGGTCGCGGGATGTTCAGGCAACAAGTATTTGGTGCGATGGCATACTACCTGAAACTTACAGCACCAATACCACCATTACCATCAATACCATCATTACCACCATTACCATCAATACCATCATTACCACCATTACCATCAATACCATCATTACCACCACTACCACCAAAGCGCCGTGCCCCCTGAACAGAAACCCCTCCCTGAACTCCCCGTCTTCAGGATGCACGGCGCCGCCCGTCGCGCCGATGTACGCGGCGAGGGTGATTTTGAGGAGGAGGAGTACGGCGAGGCTACTCGTGTTCTTGCTGACGTGGCGGGGCAGCTGGCTGCCGGCTGCTCCACCGGGTTGAGATTCCCCTGGGCCGTGCGGGTCAGGCTGTGCGAGATATTGGTCGCAGGTGGGGGCGGGGGGGGGGAAAGGGCGGGATTAGGGTTTTTGTTATTAGTCATTCTATCAGGTGGGCGCCTTGCACTGTTGTGCGATGTGTGCTGTCCTCCCGGCCTTTTCCTGCAATGCCATACACATTCCCCACCACCACCACAGACACACACGCGCGCGCCCGCACGCGCATGCGCGTACAAACCTATCCACATAAAATGATTTGAGTCACCGCCTGCTGCCACCTGCCACCTTTCTCACGTCCTTTGTTTTCCGCATCGACCTCCCCTCGTCGTCGTTAGTTGTGCCTTCTTCACTTCTGCCGCATCCGTCTTTCCTTGGCATCACTGACTTCACTCGCTCGTGGTTCGTCTTCCCCTCGTCTCTTCCTGCCTTTCCCTCCGCGTGTGTGTATGTGTGTGTATATATATATTTCTTCCAGCCTTGTTCGACACCCTCGAGGAGGGCACCTACATAGACGAGGCGGCTCTGGTGATGCAGTTCCTGGACTCGTTGTTCTTCCCGGCTCTGGGACTGTCACCCTCGGTGGCACTGGCGGTGAGGAGAAGGGGGGAAAGGAAGGGGTGTTAGGATGAGGACGCAAGAACAGGAAATGAGTCCTACATGCCTGCCTGCCTACCTACCTGCCTACCTACCTACCTGCCTACCTACCTACCTACCTGCCTACCTACCTGCCTACCTACCTACCTACCTACCTACCCACCTACCTTCCTACCTACCTACCCACCTACCTACCTACCTGCCTACCTACCCACCTACCTACCTACCCACCTACCTACCCACCTACCTACCCACCTACCTACCTACCTTCCTACCTGCCTACCTACCTCTCTACCTGCCCCCACATCCCGACAGGTTAACGCCTGGGTACATTTCAGCATGTACGTGGGTACGGGGTGTAGGGAGCAGCGGCTCATGAAGCAACTCAAACAGCAGATCTCCAGGCTGGCGGCGGCGGCGGCGGAGGCGCCGCTTAGAGCCAGGTACGACGGGGGGTGGTAGCCAGCCTGGACGTCGGCAGCTGATTCCCTTGCTTCTTGCAGGTATTTCCACCCCCGAACCCCCGCCAGCCCTTCATTGAGCTCCTGAACCTCTCCCGACCTCTCCCGCTCCCCTCCTCGTTGCGCGCAGCGACCCGTTCGGCCTGGCAGCGGAGGGCGGAGGCGGTCCCCCTGCCCCGCCGGATGAGCTGTCCAGGGATGGCGCCCTAGCAGCCCAGGTCGCCAACCACATCGTGGATTGGGTGTACAGTCGCCTGTGCGACTACCATGTTGCCTTCCCTCGGTGAGTGAGTGTGGGAGGGGGAAGAGGAGATAGCGGAGGACAGGTGGGGTAGGAGGGTTGGTTTCAGAACCCCTTCGTTTAGCGGGTTGGCTTGGTAGGCGAAGGTAGCTGAGTGCCGGGCGAGAGGCGGAGGAGTGGGAGGGGGAAGGAGAGGGAGAGGAGGAGGGGGGAGAGAGAGGTGCACTTGGGTTTATCCTTTCCCACGGAATGTTATGTATGTGCGTATGTATGTGCCTATGTATGTGCGTATGTATGTAGGTGTGTATGTACACGAGCTGTGTACGGTGCGCCGTGGCCCTGCAAACCACTCCTACCTGCCCATCCCAGTCCCGCTCTGCACCTCCTAATCGGCACCGGCACACCCACATGCGTTCTTCTGACCCATTTCCATCCTCCCCCTTCCCGCCGGCAGATATAATAGTGCCTTGCACGCACTTGTGCAGCTAATGCTTTGCGTTCTCCTATAATCTGGACCCCACCCACCCGTCCCTACATAATTCCGTCTCTCCCCAACCCCACACCTCTACCCACCCGGACCCTCCCGCTGTGAAGGGGTGAGAACCTGGCCGCGCTGCTGGATGTGTTCGTGTTCGCCTGCAAGAGCCGCGGTGACGCCCCTCCCCGGTTGTGTGAGCTGCTGGTGGAGGCTGTATGCGGGAGCGCCGCCTCGGCATTCCGGCAGCAAATGCGGGCCAGGATGGATCCTGGCGCGTCGAGTAGGTGTGGGGAGGGGAGGGGAGGGGAGGGGGTTCCGGGTTAAAGCAGGGAATCATAGACACCATAGACAGAAACGGGGCGGCCAGGTTCACAGATCACCAGAGGTCACATCTTGCAGACCGCCTTCTTTTCCTCTACATCGTTTTCCACAAGGCCTAACTTGTGATGTTACAGAGTGGGAGGCTTCTGGGCCGCTAGGCCTAACCGCGTGAGGCCCGCTTGCCGTCGAGAACCCTTCACCGCCGCCACCTTTCCCATCTCCCGATGTATCCTTGCATGCCCTCCCCCACCTCTCATTAACATCGCCTCACATGTCCTCCATGCTATTGGCGCAGACGAGATGCGGCTGCTGGAGCTGGCCTCCATCGTGCACGACATCCACGACGCCGACACGAACACGTTCTCCCCGGTGCTGAGCCCCCACTTACCCGCGGCGCTGGCGGTGGCGGCGGCCAGGATGCACCACCTGTACGGCCAGCACCTGACGCCGTGGCTGGCAATGTGTGAGTGGTGCTGGCGAGAGGGGAGGGGTTTTGGGTTTGGGGGGCTCGCCAAGGGGGGTGGAGTGCCTGTGTCGTGATGTGTGCGCGCGGGAGGAAGGGTGGGGGGTTTGGGAAGAGGAAACACGCCGTCGAGGGACAAAGGGGGGGAGTAAATGGAGGGACAGGACATCATATTCCCACTCATCACATGGTTTGTTTTCACTTCCCACGTCCTTCCTAAAACCCCAACCCCCTCCGCGATCCCCTTTCCCTTGCCGTCATGTCCCATGGGTCGTCATGTCCCGTGGGTACCGCTACGACGCCCAATCCTGACCCGTGGGTTGTTTCGGTTCGGTTTTCCTCGCCTTGACAACAGCCAAGACCATCAGCCCTGCCGTACTGGACGTGTTCCGTACCGCCAACGTGCTAGAGCAGCGCCTGGCGGGGTCCCTAGCCACGGCCATGCCGCCGGGAGGAGGCGCTGTAGGGGCAGGGGGTGGAGGAGGGTCGACATTGCCGCCGGCCGTGGCGGACGTGTTGTCACCTTTCCGGCCCTGGGACTTGGCAGGACCGCTTAAGACGGCGCTGCTGCAGGTCTGTATGTGCGTATGTATGTACGTACGTACGTACCTGTGCTCATTGCTTCTCTTTCCGATGTTTCCGTTATTTCCATTATTCCCTGGGTTAGTCGTCGTTGTTATTATTCTATTGTTGCCCTTTAAGAAGCCCAAACCTATCGAACTCAATTCTGGAGCGGAAATGCACGGTATACAGATCGCATCATGGATGCCCATACACGCACTTACGCACGCACACACGTTTTCCCCCCTCCTGTAACCACAATCTTGCTCCCTCATCCCCTCGTCCCCCAGCACACAGACTAGACTCACATATATGCATACACGCCCATGCACGTCGCCTTCACCCCTCACCGTATCCCGCCCGCCCCACCCGCCTTGTCTCCCCCCCACCCACACACAACCGCACACGCACCACCCACCCCGGTGGTTGTCTGTCGCAGTGGGTGGTGACACAGGTGTCGAATTTGAACACCTGGACAGCTCGGGCCCTGCAGACGGAGAAGTGGAAGTCCATGGGTGAGTGAGCTAGCGGCTGGGTGGGTGGAGTGTGTGTGTGTGTGCGTGTGTTTGCTTGGTGCGTGTGTCCGTCCTTGTGTGTTTTTTCCTCGTAACTGGCCTCTACTGTCAACTGGCCTCTACTGCCTGGCCTGGCCCCCTCGCCTCACTACTATGCCCCCACTCCCCCTCATATTGCATCCCAACTGACCCCCTTCCTTCCCTGGACTCGACAGACGTCCTCTTCACGGTATTATTCCCCCAAGCCACGCAGACACACACACAGACACACACACAAAAAAAAGGCCAGTTATCCCGTCCGCAAGCCCCGAACTAACACCCTCCTGTACCTCCTGGCTTTACTTCCGTCCTGACGTCAATACATCGAACGTCTGTGCAGTACATTGCAGTACATCCAGCTAATGCATCCCTCCCCCGGCCGGCACCTTATGTACCGTCCATTCTATTTCCCCGGGGGCCCCTTTCACAAACCCATTCACAAATACACACACACGCACCACCCGGTTCACCCCTCCGCCCCCCGTCAGGCTCCGCACCAGACGGCGCCCACACCGCCAGTGCTGCTGAAGTGTCGTGCATGACGACGGAAGCCCTGGATGCCTTGTACGGCATGGACGTACCCATGCCCTCTGAGGTGCCTCAGGCCTTGTTGGAGGGCATTGACGGAGTGCTGTGCAAGTAGGTGGTGACGGGGGGGGGAAAGAGATAAGGCGGGAGAGCTGGTAGCTGACGGGGAGGTGGAGGTGGAGGTGGAGGTGGAGGGGAATGTGCTCAATCCCAGGCATCGAGTCCTACCATTGATGTTACCCATTGGGCTTATTTACCTGTCCTTTGTTGTTGATTTCAGTTCTTGTCCTGTGTGTCTTATTATAACTCTTGACCATCGGTGGGAAACGGCCTCACTGGGTAGCGGGAAAGGGCGGGAAAGGGCGTAAAGTTCAGCGACTGGCAAAGCAGCCAGGCGGGGCGGGGCGGGGCGGGGGCCCGGGCAAAACCAGGCCAGGCCAGGCGAGATAGCCAGCTGTGTTTCTCCAATTGCGCCTCGGGAGCTCGCCGGCTAGTCGGCATTCTACTAGTGCAGTAGCCAGGCGCGCTGTGTCCACTAAGCTAGTAGCCGCGGCGCTGACGGGTCACCACCCGCGGCATTCTACTAGTGCAGTAGCCAGGCGCGCTGTGTCCACTATCCTAGTAGCCGTGGAGCTGAGGTGTCACCACCCGCGGCATTCTACTAGTGCAGTAGCCAGGCGCGCTGTGTCCACTATCCTAGTAGCCGCGGCGCTGACGGGTCACCACCCGCGGCATTCTACTAGTGCAGTAGCCAGGCGCGCTGTGTCCACTATCCTAGTAGCCGCGGCGCTGACGTGTCACCACCCGCGGCATTCTACTAGTGCAGTAGCCAGGCGCGCTGTGTCCACTATCCTAGTAGCCGTGGAGCTGAGGTGTCACCACCCGCGGCATTCTACTAGTGCAGTAGCCAGGCGCGCTGTGTCCACTAAGCTAGTAGCCGCGGCGCTGACGGGTCACCACCCGCGGCATTCTACTAGTGCAGTAGCCAGGCGCGCTGTGTCCACTAAGGGCTAGTAGCCGCGGCACAGAGGGAGTCACCACCCGCGGCATTCTACTAGTGCAGTAGCCAGGCGCGCTGTGTCCACTAAGCTAGTAGCCGCGGCGCTGACGTGTCACCATCCGCGGCATTCTACTAGTGCAGTAGCCAGGCGCGCTGTGTCCACTAAGCTAGTAGCCGCGGCGCTGACGGGTCACCACCCGCGGCATTCTACTAGTGCAGTAGCCAGGCGCGCTGTGTCCACTAAGGGGCTGTAAGAGATCAGCAAAGAGGGAGAAGGAAGTGGGAAATTAGCAAATTAGAACTGATTGAGCACAAAGGATAGCTACGGCGATAACGTGAGGGGTCTATGGAGGTTAGGAGTACATTCCTCTAATGATGCCTATCTTTACGATGGTGGTGGTGGTGCTCGCTGTTTCTTGTTTTGCTTTTGTCCGCAACGCAGGTACGTGACCCACGTCAATGACAAATTGGGAGCACTCCAACGGCTCATACCGCCAGTACCGCCCCTCGTGAGGTACAAAAAGGTACGAACGTACAAGAATGTGCAAAAAGATGTACAAGCCGCACCAATCAGCCAGCTTGTTAGTGTCGTGCATATACGCATGTACGACAGTCACAAACGGGCACGACGCTGCTGCTGATGATGACGACTTGCGCTGTACATCTCTTTTTGTAACGTTGGATTATGTGGTATGTATGTCTGCATGTATTTTTGTGTGACTCTGCTGTCTCCTGATCGAGAAGGAACTCGCGTGTGCGTGTGTATGTATATGCGTGTGCGTGTGTATGTATATGCGTGTGCGTGTGTATGTATATGCGTGTGCGTGTGCGTTCTCAAGGGCAGGCGTGAAGCCTCCTGGGGAAAGAGGTAGCGCAGGAAATGTTTGGTATCCGCTGGCCTGCTGTGCCATCACGGGACACCTGCGTCGTCGCCTTCGTCTGCTGGCCCCTCCCCCCTTTCCCCCTTCCCTTCTTTACAAGCGCCGACTGGTTAGTTATGCCTGCTTTAAACTTCTGGCACATCAGTCTTTCCCCCTTTGCATCAGCTTCGATCGCTCGTGTTTCGTCTTTCCCCTTTTCCTTCCCCTGGACGTCCGCAGTCACTCCTTGGCTTCCCCTTTGCATCATTCGGCGTTTCCCGCGCTCCTCCCCTCCCCGCCCTGCCCTCCCTTTTTTCGTCCTGCCCTGCGGTCACCTCAGGACGTGGTGACTAAGAACGAGCAGGCTGAGCGAGATGCAGGTCGCAGCAGCACCAAAGGGGGAAAGAACAAGGTGGCCTTCCTCGCCAGTGTGCCGGCGGTGAGAGGGTTGGCGAGGGGGGGGAAGAGGTAGAGGGAGGGGAGTCGCGCGGAGAGCAAATCACGCCTCGGCAAAATTGGGCCCCCCCGTTTTTCCCTCCCCTCCCCCTTTTCACCTCAGGTTGAGAGCTCCCCCGACTTCACCAACATCAGCGCCTCCCTCACCACTGAGGTGCTGCTGGCGGCGGCATGCAGCCTCAACTTCCTGTACGGCAGGGCAGAGGTGCTGGTGCAGGTGTGTCGTACGTCCGTGGAGAGGGAGCGGGGGTGTGCTGGCCGGCGCGAGTTGGGGGAAGGGGAAGGGGAACAGCTGCAGACAACAACGGCAACAGCCCTAAACCGATTATATATAGGTCGCCGACGTCGCACCGCAGGACTCACCCCGCCCCATCCCTCCCTCCTCCCCCCTTTTCACACACATACACACATACACACGCACGTACTCACCCCTCGTAGTTATCCCGGGAGCGGCAGATGCAATCCGTCGCGGCCCACTCGGCAGCCTCCGCAGCCACTTCGCGTCTGATGGCGCCGCCAGGAACAACAGCACCAGCGCCAGCATCAGGTTTCGGAGCGGGAGCAGGGGGTTCGCCCGGGACTGTCAAGAGCTCCCCAGCCAAGGTGGGCGTGTGTGCATGTATGTATGTATGTATAAATGTATATATGTATGTATGTGCGTTTGTGTGCTGCTGCTCCTCGGCGTAAGTAACTGACCCTCAGCGTCATAACCCACGACGTCGCATATCCGTCTCCCTTAGCTGCAATGTGGGCTTAGCACCACCTGCAATGATGTGACTCAACTGTACGGCGATGATAACTCGGCTAGCCACTGGACAAAGCTGGATAAGGCAAACCTCTATCCCCCCGCCTGTGTCGTCAAATCCCACATTCCGCCACCGCTGCCGCCACTGCTGCCTCACCCTTCCCGTGGCCGCAGTCTGAGGGAGGTACGTCAGTAGGGGAAGCTCCGGAACCACTTACACACGCTCGTACGGCACTGATGACGGGGATGCAATACGCTTGCAAGTTCCTGGCCGCCCGGGTACGTGCCCCCCTCGGGGTTTAAAAATGGGGGTTGGGCTGGGGAGGGGCCCGGGGGACTGTTTGGCGCGCTGTGCGAGCGTGGCCTGGTCTGACCTGACCTGATCTATAGCAGTCCGAGTCCCATCTCAAAGGGTCCGTCTCCTCTCCACATCCACAACCACAACCACAACCACAACCACCATCACTTCGCATCGGACCCCCGAGCCCCTGTCGATAGCTTTTCCGGACGGAGCGTCCGGAGATAGGGTAGGTGGTTTACATCGTCACTTTGGACCACTGCAGCATTTGGCGCTTACGACGTTGTTAACTGTCACCTTTCGCTTCTTGCGTCGCCGTACGGCTCCCTCAAACCCCGCCGCATCAGGTTGTGTTTTGGGACGGTCGTACTCCCTGGCTGGAGCTGCTGTATCGCCACCACGTAGCCCAGCCGTCCGCCCGTATGGATGCCGTACTGGAGGGACTTTTGAAGGTGCTGGCGGGCACTCGTGCCGTACTGCCGGACGTCGTAAGGACCACTTTTGCCAAACACTTGATGGTGGCGGCGGTGCAGGTAGGAGGCCAGCGGGTGGTGGTTGTGGTGGTTATGGTGGTGGTTGTTGTACGGGGTTTTTAGTGGGAGAGGGAAAGCTGGAGATTTTCATTCATAGGCAGCAAACTGTTTTTTGCAAAATAGAAGAACTGCCAACTTTCGAGAAGCAGCAACAACTTCGAATGTCCGAATCAACCACACACCCTCCAAGCAAGTAGCTCCGGAACCTTCTGTTCACCTCGTACTCGTAAAGGGTTACTATCGACTTGCGTGTGTCTGTTGTTCACACCCCGCGACCCTCTCTCTTCCCCCTCTCTCTCTCAGCTCCTCTTCCCCCCTCCCGGCTCCGAGTTGCCCAAGTTGGTGTTTGTGACGTACCGGCAATTGGCAGTAGAACAGTTTGACCCCCAGCACCCCCCCACCCCACCCCCCAACCTCCCCACCCCCCCACCCCCCCGGCAAGGCTACCGAGCGGGTGTTGCTGGATGGAGGTCCCTGTCGCTGGTTCATGCCCGCTGACGTGCAGGCCATTGACCAGGTGGGAAGCATGGCGCTGTGTGTGCGGGTGTGTGCATGTGTGCATGTATGTATATATATGTATGTTTGTCTGTGCTTGTGATAGCGTCAGAACCATTACCCAAGCGCAAGGCTAAGGGCCGCTTTTACTTGCTACAGGGGAATGGGGGAGTACGTCACATCTGCTGCGGCATCGGCATGTTCCCCTACTCCCGGGCGGGTGGCCCACGTGTGTGTACCCCCCCCCATCCACCACTACGGTGCATGCATGCATGCATGCATGCATTACGCTGCCTGCTCACATCCCCCCCTTTCCACGCAACTCAGGTGCACACATACGGTCGGTACCCTCACCCTTTATTGCTATTATAAAAGATAATAACAATAAAATAATAATATGTAATAATTATAATAATCATTATTGTCATCATTATTTTTTTCCTGTCCCCACCCGAGTTCGTTTCCCGAATTTTCCCCCCTCCGCCCGAACCAAGTAAAGGACCTTCACAAGCTCCGAGCGCTGTTCCACGCGGACGGTGAGGGTCTGGAGCGGGAGCTGATCGACACGGAGTTGGAGCGAGTACGGCGACTGCTGCCGCTCATGAAGCAGGAGGTGGGGCCGCTCATGGACCTGCTCAAGACGGTGAGGAGGGGGCCGGGGGCGAGGCCTGAGGAAAGAACGAAGGGGAACGAGGGAATTAGGGGAGGTGGGGCTTTTGGAGTCATGGTGTGTAACTGCCTTGCAACACGGAGTAGGTAAGACAGAGATCCCCCCAATCCTAGCGCTCCCAATCGCAGCTGGGGTGGGGTTAGGTGGGTGCGTGGGTTGGGCTGGGGCTGATGAGCCCCTCCCCATCCGGCCTCCGCGAGGTTGTATCTGGTCGCCGCCAATTAGGGGGCGGGGAGCCATGGGCCCTTGCTGTGTGTGCTTTTTGGTGTAACTTGAGGACGAGCTGCCTGGGCCAAGGATCCAACCTTTCCCCTTCCTCCCCCCAGCGGACCCACGTTCTTTTTGTTCCGCCTCCAATATGCCCCTCGCTATATCCATATCAGTGTTGCGCACGTGCCGGTTTCGTGGCGTGCTTTGTCGTACCCTACCGCAAACCCTGCCTGCCCGCTGTCCCGTGTCAGGCCCGCACGCATGGCACCGCGCAGCTCATGTCCTCCAGCGGTGGACCTGGCCAGGCGTACGACGAGTCCACAATCATGCGAGTTATCGTACATCGCCCCGAGCGTAACGGCAGCAAGATGCTCAAATCGCTTTACAAACTGCCCAAGAAGGCCAAATGAAGAGTGGGGGGAAGAAAGGGGGCATGAAGACATCAGGGGCAGGGAGGCGGAGGGGGCAGCAGGCAGGGGGGATTGGGTGGGGAGGAGGGGGACTTTTCAGGTATCCTGCAGGCTGCAGCAGCAACCCCGCCACCCTACCCTACCCTACCCAAACCCACCCCACACACACCCCACCCATGCCCCCTGGGGGTACGTGTCAGCTACCGCATGGCCGCAGTGTTTTCCTGGCTTCCTTCCAATGCATCCCTGGAAACTAGGGGAGACTGTTGGGGTGGCACCGGACACCTTTTTCTGAGAGCGCACCTCACCTCACCTCACCCCACCTTACCTTACCTTTACCTTACCTCTCGTGACGAAGTTAGCTTTGCTTACCGCTACCTAACCTTACCGCTCCACGGGACTGCTGGGTGCCTGGTTTGGATGCGGCACACGGAGGCGTCAGTTGGCCGGATGCGTCTGGCTTGCTGTCTACCTATCGTTTTGTCTGTCTGTCTGTCTGTCTGTCTGTCTGTCTGTCTGTTTATCGACCTGCTCACCGGACACGTAATGGTCAGGCTAGTCATCAGCCTGGGGCATCTCGGACTTTATATTTCTTCTCGCGTGTATGTGTGTGTTTTCTTGTTGGAAGGGCACGCAATACCACCGACAGCAGCAGCAGCAGCAGCAGTGGTAATTGGGAAGGGGAAGTGGGGGAAATTAATGAACGAAACCAAATGGAAATGTGGGAAATGTGTCAAAGCCGAGTCACTTCATCCTCAGGTGAGGTGGCGTTGGGTGATCGATGAAGGGTTGTTGTTGTTTGTGGTCATTACCGCAGAGCAGCGCGTAGTGGTGGTAGTGGCAGCCGGGCTGTGGAAAGCTTGCTGCGCAATGCCAGACGAATTGCCAATTGAGACGACGAGGGAAAGCGGCCACAATAGACAATGGCTTCAGTTGTGTGTCTTCAGAGTCCGCAGGCCCCGACGATGCAAACAGATTGAGACGGACAGCGAGAGAACCGCAGCGAGAGCAAACCGCAGCTTTCGGTCCTAACACGCAGCTCCCTTGTGGAGACAGACCGAGGAGGGCTGTCTCTCGCGGTCACCAAGGGGCTTGCAGACGGGGCGGATTGGACAAACGCAGATGTATGCATGTATGTATGTGTGTGTGTGTGTACGAGTGACCGTGTATGCGGTGCTGTTCGGGTTTTGTCCGAGCACGAGCAAGGGAGGTGGGTTCCACGGGTTCAGCGCAAAGAAAGGAAAGGAAGACGACAGAAGACGACAATTTTACGTATCATTGTGCATATGCGGCTGCAGGAGCAGTAGCAAAACCACGTTCCAAGTGCTATTTCGACTTTGTGCCCTTACCTTGGGCCACCTCTGACCTATTCCATCAGCCAGTGGCCGGCGGTCCCTTCGCGAATCGCCAAAGGATATACTATAGATGGAATTAGGACTGGGGGTAGTTGTGGGAGGTTTTGTGTCCGTGATTGCGGTTGCCGACTGCTGGTGACAAGCAAAAGGATCATCCGCTGGTGGGCACATGGTATGGAGCTTGACGGTGACTTTGGTTCGTAGGTCGCGGTAGTGTGTTCTAACCCTGGGCTAGTGCTGCTTAGGTGCGAGGCGGTACTTTTGCCGTGTAGCTTGGAACAGGGGGCCCTCGGGTACTTGCGCCTGACGGGCTGCAGTTAGGAGTCTGTGTGCGTTTCAGCCTGCGGTGTGGGGGAAGTTGGCTCCTTCAAGTGGAGGAGGTGTGCGTTGGCTTCTTCAAGTTGTCTCTCTTGTCCTCCACCCTGCCCAAGAATCCACAGGTGTACGCTATGCCCTTCCCCTTGCTTGAAGGTACGGGTATTTGTGGGGTTTTGGTACTTGTACGGCTTCCTGCTTTTTAATGGGAGTACGTGCCCTGGGTTAGATTGGTTGTTATCAACCGCTAGTTTGTACGGCGTATGTACGGCTAATGATGTGAGTTGGTTCCCTGTCCCCCTTGTGTAAAATTGCATCATAATTTTTATTTCTTGTTCTTCTTTCCTATCAGAGGATCAGATCAAATGAGATGTCCTGCTTCTTTGTAGCGCTTCACACGACGCAAAACGATAAGAGAGCTTCTGATGTGGTTACTCTCCACCTGGTTCGACCTGGCTCGCTGCAGCAATACAGCGCTCTACCCGACCCGGCTGCTGGGTACAGATTTACACGACCTGCCTTCCTCAAAGTTCATCAAGCAGTCGTCAGGCTGCAGCCGTACCTGCTACAAGCTATAAGCAATGTTTGCTATTAAGAAGAAGTGAGCCGTCGTCTACATTTCATTTCACTTTGTGGGGCTCCCTTGCTTGGCAAGTTTGCATTTTCCTGCCCCCCTTCCCCACGGAGGGGGGTTACCTCCGGGGCCTATCAGCGCCTTGCGCCCGCCGCTAGCCTAGTAATAGAGTGCGGCCACTGCACGGGATGCGTTATGCCTCCAGCGGTAGCGATGACGTGAAACAGTAAAGAAAGCGAAACTTACAAAAAAAACAGGCAAATCGAAAGATGCAAACAGCCCAACGGCGACGAAAAAACAACGACAGCAATAACGACAACGCAAAAACCGCACACTTGAGGCGGCACACTTTCAAATAATTATGTTGGCGACTAAAAGCATGTCCTGAAGGTATATAGTAGAAGCTGACGGGCTATTGTCCTGCTGCAGATTCAGATCCCGCCGATCGATCGACCAATCGGCAAAAGCACTGCTAAACGTTGCCACCCGCTAACATTACGTAATCCAATATCCTTCCACCGCATCCGCCCCCTCTACTTTTTTTATTACATCTCCCCCGGTAAACTCTTTATTGTATTGCGGAGTTTTTGTAACACGACCCCTCCCTCCACCTCGTTCTGTCCCCACCTTCCCTCCCCACCTTCCCTGGACTCACTACCCCCTCGTCCCGCTCGCCCTCCTTTTCCCCCCCCCTCCCACAGCCACATCTGCCTCCTCGCATGTTCCTCCCCTCCCCCCCCCACAACCAGTTACATGGCCTCCGCGACTGCGAAATTGTAGAAGGGCGGAAGCACTGGGTTGACCCTGAACCAGGTGCAGCCGGGGTACATGGATGCCGCCACCTCCTTCGGAGTCGGCATGTATGTCAGTCGCCAGCCCATGGGCGCGAGGTAGTCCCGCAGCCCCGCGGGGTCCAGCGCGCTGCGCTTGGGCTCACCCTTGTTCTTGACCGTCTGGCGATTCGTGCGCACATGTACGCGTAAGTACGTATGTATGTATTTGTACAGTTTCGAGGGGAGAGGGGGAAAGGGGCAAGGAAGGACGGAGGGACGTGGGATAATGTACGACGGGAGGTGTGGAGTACGACATTTGTCAAAACAACGCCTGATGGACGACCTGGGACGTGAAGAGTATTATGGAGCTTGAGGACGCGAGCTCCCACCCCAATCTCGCACTAGGCCGAATCGCCTCAGCATCCGCTCCGGAACCACAGCAGGCCCACAGCCCGCACCTGACCCCGACAAGCATTTAACTTACTTAGGGTTTAAAACCCCTAGACACACTCCCACTGCTACCACTAACTTCAGAACCCACAGCTTTATCATCGCTAAGGCCATTTTACCAGTCGCAGCGTCTCGTATCCCGGCTCCCAGCGCCGGCCGGTGAACACGTCCTCGTGTAGGAAGTCGAACGCCACCCGGCTACCTGGACCAGCCACGGAGCGAATGCTCTCCAACAAGCGGGTGACCGCCTCCGGCGGCAGGTAGTACAACAGGCCCTCGACCGTGAACAGGGTGCGCGCCCGCGGGTTGAAGATACCGCTGGCGCCGGCGGCAAAGGTGGTGGTGCCGGCAGTGGCGCTGAAGGAACCGGATTTGAAGGGCACGGCGGTGGCGGTGGCAGTGGCGGAGGCGGGAGCCGGGTGCTGGGCGACGTGGGCGCCGACGCCGGCTGGGGAGGCTGCCGTACGGCTGCTGAGAAGCGCGTCGGCGATGCTGACCTGGGAAAGGTCGGCTGCGATGTAGATGGGCCGAGGGAACTGGAAAGGGGGAGGGAGGGGAGGGGAGGGGAGGGGGGGGAAATATGTGTTTTTTTAGTGCTTATGTGTGTGTGGGCGTGTGGGTGTGCAGGGCTGGGGCCGAGGGCGGGGGGGAGGAAAAGGGGAACATTGCATGCACCGTGCCGTGCTGTGTTTAAAATTGCGAGGGAGAGCACACCCGCACAGTGGGCGGTAGACGGTAGGTCTCAAAAGGTGTTGAAGAACAAAATCCCCCACCTAACAGAGGGGGTTCGTTGCGGGGTTGTTATCGTTCAAAACCTACCCCCTTCCGCACTGCCAAATCAAACTAAACCTTAGCAAAAATCGTCGTAGGAAATGTGGCCTCCCATTCCATCGCGTTTCCCAGGCACACAACATACATACATACATACATACATACATACATACATACATACATACATACATACATACATACATACATACATACATACATACATACATACATACATACATACATACATACATACATACATACATACATACATACATACATACATACATACATACATACATACATACATACATACATACATACATACATACATACATACATACATACATACATACATACATACATACATACATACATACATACATACATACATATGTATGGATGAGACCAAGCTTGACTAAGCTGCTACTATGACCGTCGGCCAACCGCGGCCGTGGCCACCGACAGCGACCTCAATTGTTTGAGCGTAGTTATGGTTATCTAATTAGCCTGAAAATGTCGCAGAGGCGACCAGCAGTGGCTGTTAGCCGCGGCAATGTTCAAAATGGCCGCCAGCCGACCTCAGCCGCGAGACCGCAATCCATACCGACCAAAAAGATAAAGGCCGTCAGTGGCTTTTACGGAACAAATGAAGGCTTGGCTTTCTACAGAGCCACACTAGAACTGGAACCGATCGTG